TCTCCAAATGGACTTCATTTGCATTCTGAATGGCCAGTTAAGTATCCCTTAAAAGGTCTCGAAAAGACTTCGGATTCGCAGCAATTCCGGGTGATGTTGAAGAAAGTACCCGATTATTAGAAACTGTAACATGGGGAGCACCATTCATCGATTCAATATTATTATCAACCTCCATGGATTGGTCAGCATTCATAGAATTCTGTCCAAAGATGAATTGAGTGATTTTTCGCTTAGGTTTCTTGTTAGATCTGACCAATTGATCAACCATTTGGGGGGGATTGGTTTGCAGCCATTTTTTTCCGAGTATCATTAAAAAATGATACTTAAAAAAAATTATATGCATGTGAAAATAATTATCCTTATATGATAACAAAAATGGGCAATTAGATATTTTATAAAACTTCACTATTTATATAATGTAGAAAATGTATCTAATATTCTAACACACTTATATGCAGAATTGTTACAATTGTATGCAGCATTACCCAAAATAGTATTTCAAGAACTATTCTGAAAATGCCTTAGTAACAACAATTAATTGTATGCTCTCATCAGTAATATCATGTTTTAATCATTATTGTGAGAAAAAAAAAAAATCAAAACCTACAAAACAAAGGTTAAGATGAAAACTCCAATTATCATTGCACGTGCTGCTGATTAATTCCTACGTTTGATTTAATTTGTTTCATCAAAGTGGTGAATTTTTAAACAATAGCTCCTCATGGTTGTTTAATTGAATGATTGGTTAATTAATCAGACAAAGTTTAACTTTATCTGGGATTGTGTTATGTTGGAAATTGGACCACATAATACAATAATTAATTTTAATTTAATTTGCATTTTTTGAGGGATAGGAAATTTTGGAGTGAAGTTAATTAGTTGTTTAAGTTGGTTTATAATTTGGCATCTCTTTGCATTATATTATACTCCGTATATGACACAAGCCATCTAGTTAAATACACTTGGGTATGGTAGTGACACTTTTTAATTGTAGCGTTTAAGAACATATGCATGATATATATGGTTGCTGAAAACCACGAATTTATTTTCAGTTTTAGATGTACTATTTTCTGTTGAATTAACATGTTACTTGTCAAACTATACTAATATAATGTAACAATTATTTCCAAATTAAATGGATAAATTAATTGAGAATAATTATTCAGAGTACTATTTACTCCATATATGCATGCTTTGATTTAGTGTGTAAAGAAAAACCATGAATTATATGAACGAACCAATTGGTTGTTGGTGTAGTGGTGATTGGGACTACACTTGATAGGGAGGACAACATGTTCGATCCCCCGCAACAACAATTGGGAGGGGACTGAAACTTAATCACCAAGAACTGACGATCCTCGAATCCGGATTAGCCCAAAAAGGATGAACCGGGTGGAACACCAAAAAAAAAAGAATTATATGAACGATGTGTACATAACATAACAAAATTACAACCTTATATTTTTAAGTTATTTATCTATTTAATTTGACATACCCAATAATGGGGATGATCAATTAGCTTAGTTGGTTTAGATCTTGAGGGGTGGTACTCGAAACCTGAGATCAAATTCTCTTTACATAACAACACTTGCAGTCTCTACACCAAAAAAAAGAATATACGGAGTAATTATTGTTTCCAAACTTAAATACTTATTAATTTATTATTGATTATATTCATCTCTTCATTGGCTTTACAATACTAATAGATCCAAACACTTTTTTTAAGATTATCATCTTGATCATCTTCGCCTTGTATTCTCTACATAGAAATTTTTTTATATCCAGTTATATGAAAAGTCATTTACAGATTTACTAATCAGTTTTTAGGTTATTCAACCACTAAAAGAAGTCCAAAACCATTATAAGACCTTACTAAATTAAAAAAAAAAAAATCATTAACAATTAAAGTTTAACAATGAAGATCTAAATTAATTATCGCGTTAATAGTTTAAAAAATACACGGTTTAAATTATATGATCAACAAGATTTTTATGTATACGAGATATTAGAACATATATTCTTAGAAATTGTATTCATTAGAAGTTTAGAACATATATTCTCACAAATTGTATTCCCCTTTGGCCCTTCATTCAAATGCTGCACACGCGTTTACGAAATGATAATAATGCACGATTGCACGTCTTAATGTCGCACACCGCAACCCCATATGCTGATATGCCTATTGTTCCCAAGAAAACTAAGGTCACTCATTTTAAGCGTAGGAAACCTTAGCTTACTGGACCACACTATTTACACTAACTAGGTCTAAACTCACCATATCTAAACACCGTCTCAATTTGGCTCTTACATTATTTTATTTAAAAAAATAAATCTTAGACCCTCTTTGAGTCGTTTGAGATAACCAATACTTCCATCGGTTATATATTGTCATTCGGTTTTCTTGTTTTCTTTTATCTATATGAAAAAGTATCCATATTTAACATAGCTTAAGGATTACAGTCGTATTTAATTTATATAATTAGATAAAATAAAGTGTTCATAATTAAGATTGTTACAATATTGTGCTCATACGTCGTTATATACATATATCAAGACATATATTAGAAGCGCTAGTGCTGGCGTGCTTAGCTTATTAGTACCTAGTAGAGGCTCCCTACTATTTTTTGGCTTTGTTCCGGACTCTCGGGTACGAGTCTTACCGGTTAGTGCTTGTAATGTGCAAAATTAAAAGTGATGAATGCACCATTGTATCACAACACGGTTGTTTAAGAGCACGAGTGAACGACTGTAAGTAACCTACGTCGGTAATGGTATAGTTACTTGCCAAAGTCAGTGTTAGATTGAGAATTTCTACATATTGCAGGAAAGTTCCTGATCTTTTAATAATAGAGACATCACAACTGTACTCTTATATATATTAGTCAAAGGAAACAGCCATTTGCTCCTTGGAAGTAGCAAATTAAATTTAATCAACTCATCAAAGGACATATTTCTTGTAGTATAATTTAATCGTTTTATTAGCATACCTTCATCATTTTTCTCACATACATATAGTTAGCATTGCATATAAAGTTTACTATCTTATATAATCAAAGTTCATAGCCAATTTTATGGTACATATTTTTTTTAATCAAAAGGTACAACTTCTTAAATGATTAGACAAATGACGAGAATCGATCACACGATTATATGTTTACCAGAGGTGATCATATATTAATTAAGCTAAGCCCCAAACGACAAGCACATTGACATAAACCTTGTTTGCTAATTAATTAACCTTTTATTATTATATTGCTGAGATTTTGACCAACGTGGTCAAACCAATAAAAGTTTTGGTAACTAGATGACTTATTTGTAGGGGTGGCAATTCGGGTCAACAGGTCGGGTTTGGGTCAGATTTCGGGTCGATTTCGGGTTATGCTTAGAAACTAATAAAAATAGTGTAAAACTTAATATTATTACGAAATATGAAATTTGGGTCAAATCGGGTCGAATTCGGATTGTTCGGGTTCGGTTCAGGTCGGGTTCGGGTCTCTCTCAATAACTTCGGTTCGGGTTGGGTTTTCGTGTCGGGTCAGGGTTTGCCAGGCCTACTTATTTGTTGGCTTAAAATCCAAAGTTAAGCTAGAATGATAAAGTAAGTTGCTTGCTTTCGTTAACTTTAGGTTACGTTTGTCTAAAGTTGACAATTTGGCACATATATATACAATGGACCAACATTTAGCACGAATTCTTTTTAACTTTTGTCAAATTTGAGAAAATAGTTAGCAGATCATTTTCAGTAGTTCAATCTATGCATTAATTCTAATTAGTTGCCATTATATAAAATGGACCAACTTAAAGGTCATATGTATTACTGTTGTATTTGCTGGTCCCTTCTTTACATACGTGTTACTTTTTCTTTCTTCCTATTTTTCCTATTTCCACTTATCTTGGCTTTATGTTCAATTTCCAAGATACTAAAGATGAAAATCTTAATATTTAATATAAATCAAAATATATTCTAATTTATACAGTTATATAATAGTCAGCAAGAATAGGCGATTAAAGGACAAAAATAATAAGTAATTTAGACCAATTGATTATAAGAAGTCATGTACATATATCTCAGTAGTTTTATATCATATGATAAGGACTAAAATATACTTATATTTGCTCCAAAATGTCCGTTAGTGTTAATTTCTGTTTAGGTTGTTTGGCTATAATAAGTACTCCGTATATGTTGTTTGTAATAGGAATGACTCATCGATCATGTGGTAGTTTTCCGGAAGAAAGTTAAAGAGTTGCCCATCGTTTTATAAAGTTGTCTTTGTCCTTGAATAATTATGTACTACGAGTCTACGATATACTTATCAGAGTAACTTGTATTACGGAGTATTATACACTATGAATATGTTTTTTTTTAAGAAGCTACATACGTATGTATTCTTAGAATAAAAGTCTCCTCGATTTCATGGTAAATTATTAGTCATCGTAAGTTTATATTTATGTATTATTTTGCAATTTTGTCAATATAATAATAATTACACGGCATATTCGATTAGCAGAGCTATATAGAAATCTTGCAATATGATGGTAGAAAATTGAAGTTCACAACTTCACAAGCAATTAATAATAATCATTTATGATTATTGGTATAAATGTTTTAAAATGTGTGGGAGACATTGAGTATTGGATTGAGACTCTATGTTTTTTATGTTCCATTTTACGTTTCATCTTATAGTCTTTTCTTTGTTTAAATGTCTCATCTATAATAATGCATTCAATTATGTAGGAAGTTAATGTGATAAATTGAGAAATGTATGCTGAAAAATAACATAGGGTAAAGAAAATTAACTAGAGGCCAAGGTTTCTCAAGCTAATTAAGTAAAGTCGAGTACTCCCACATTACACTGTATAATTATATGAATTTCGTTATTATGTGGTATTTTAATCTATTTTAACTACTTCGTATATGACATTATTGTACTCAGAAGAATGTCAATTAGAGAAGGGAGGATTATGGCTTGCTTGAGCACTTAAAAACTATTTATAGAAAACATTATATTATACACTTCGTATCAAATTTTATTTATGTTATCACTTCGACCACTACTTGTTACTCCCTATCTTTAATGCGTACACAATAATAGTAAGTCGTGCAATTTTCTCACAAAGTCACAATTCTTAGTAATAAGGACGCTATAAGAAATAATTAAAAGCCTAAAATTATAATTACAGAGTACAAGTACTTGAAAAATAATTGTTTGCGCCCTTCACCTAAAAAACGAAAATAGTTGTACTTGATAATTTGGCTTTGTCTAAGAACTGTAGAGGTGTCATATATCTTATAACAAGCCAGCCAACCAATCCGATCTTGTCTCTAAAACCGACCAACCAAATTAGACATTTTCTCCACAATTATTAAATTTTCACATCCAATTATTGATTTATAATCCCAAGTTGTTGAAATCAAGAAATAATGTAGTGGACCGAGGTTAGTAGTTAAAAAGAGGAAAAAAATAAACACAAAAAAATAATGTACTCACTAGTAATAATATTAATGACATAATTAATCAATTAATTAATTACATTGAATGATTTAATTAATCATAGCTAGTAATTAACAATAATAACCTACGATAATACATACCTAATACCACCATTAGAGGAAAAAGACGAAGAAGACGAAGACGACGAAGGATGATTAGTAGTATGATTAGTAGGAGTAGACATGAGATTAACAACGAGATCAGTAAAAGCTCCAACAATGTATTTATGAGTGTTCTTTGGATTCAAAGACAAGTAACTCAAAAGCAACTCTTGTAAATATTCCCATACTTCTTTGATTTCTAAGTTACCCAAGTCACGTGACTCCACCATCTCTTGCATGGATCGCCTGAAGTCCACGTAGGGGTTGGGGGAGTACGTGTGAACAGGTACTCCCCCGGCCACTCGTGCTGCAGGGGAAGAAGACGAGGACTCCTCTGCTTCCTCCCCTACAGGAGAGGAAAACAAGGTAGATGAGGAGAGAGATAGAGAGTCGACAATCGAGTTTGATCGACCAGGGGACGAAATGAAAAACCTACGAGAGGCGTATGCGGCGGTGAGGTCCGGAGTAGAAGGACCTACCGCCGCAGTATTAGTAGAGATGTTGTAGTCCTCCGTCTCCATGTAGTCAGTGGAGACGGAGAACGGGGAGGCGGAGACGTAGGAGGTGGTGGTGATGGGAGGAGGGACGGAGTCGAAATCTTCGAAAAGAGAGTTGTAATTAGTGTTTAAGGGGTGGGGGTGTTGTGGGGAAAGGGTAAATTGGGCCTGTGGGCGTTTGAGTAAGGAGAGACATAAGTTGAGGTTTTTGCCTAGTGTGTTTGGCATAGTTTAGTGAGGTTGTTTGAGTTGAGTTGATTTTCTCTCTCTAGAAATTTAGTTAGTGAGAAGTATGCAAAGTATAAGTGTGGGCTGTAGAGAGAGGTGATCGTGTGTGAGCTGTATTTAAGGGTGTTGGTAGTAAGAACTAAGAAGAGAGAGAGAAAGGAAAGTGAGGTGGGGTCAGGCTTAATTATTAGTTGATCAAGGTCTCTAAATCAATTGTGTTCGATCATACAGTAATTATCAGACATGTAGGACAACGTTTTTTTAAATTTTATTTCTAAAGGGTTGATATTTAAATAATAGAGAAATCGGTTATCGAATCGTTAGGCAAAAATCAACATTTGATGACAGATTAATTTCATTGATGAACTGTGTCGGACTGTCTTTTACAAGATTTTGCCTTCAAAATGTTAGTTATATGTCATTAATGGAGAGTTTGTGTATTTTAAAAAGTTATTTAGTATAGTAACAGGGTATTTGGGGATCTTGTTTTCAATTCTTAAAAAGGGTATCTTAGGAATAAATTTTGGAGCATTTTTTTATTATTAAATTTGGTGTTGTGATGTGTGAAATTTACGAGACCTTTAAAGTAATTTATTGTATCAAATTAAGCCATATAGAAATTGTTCGTTAAGTAGTGAGGGTGGTGAGAAGTCCATGACAATAATGTGGTTTTGTAATATAATCGGTAATACTTTTTTTGTTTGGAATTAAGGAAGTGATGGAAAGAAGATACAAAAGAGACAACTATAAGTGGAAGAGTATGATTTTTCTTCATTCATGCCCTCTTTTCTCATTCAAGAAAACACTTGAATTTTCTTTGTGGAGTATATTGTAATTTTATGGAGTATATTGTAATTTTATTATAGAAATGGGTAATAAGTTGAGCTTGAGGACTGATTTCAGTTTGCCATATCTTGCGGTGGTTAGTGGAAAAAGTATGGGCCCAATATTCCAATCAAAGTGGAGTTTGTAATCTCCAATTTTCCATTCCACTTATTGATTTTCATCCAAAGTGGAGTTGTGCTAATTATTTGTGTGGACTATTATCTTTGTCAACACCAATTGGCAATTGCACGTTACACTGCAACAGTTTATTTCATCACGAAATGACCCTAATCCAGAAATCTAATTAACCATGATTAAGAATAATCGTTGTTAGAGAGCTACAAGCGAAAATAATAATGTTCTAAGATATTTAATTCTAAATCTTAGGTATCACCCCTACAACTTAACTAATACTTCCTCCATTTCTTTTTAGTTGACACGTTCCTTTAGTCACGTTTGTCAATACATAAATTCAACCATTAATATCTTTAATTTCGATAAGCAAAAATTATAAAAATTTGATATTTAGAAAATATATATTGTGAAGATTATAACAAGATCCTACATCACTATATTTGTTATTACATATAAATCACAAAACACGGTCAAAGAAAAATGTGTGATAAATAGTGCTAAAGTCAAAACGTGTCAACTAATTAAAAAACAGAGGTAATATAAACTCATTAATTCTCATACTCATCATGTTTTTGATTGGCTTAGTGACTCGTTTAACTTGAATAATCATGCAATGACCTCACGACGTGTTAGTATTTTTGTGTACGGTCATAAAATATCTACAATCATTATCATCAATTACCATTGTAATTTCACTACTCACTTTCTTTTCTAATACTGTAACAATTTGTGTTTTTACCATTTTCTCAATTCAAAGCAACTTTTTATTTTTGATTCACCTTGAATCTTCAATCATTATACTATTTGAAATCATAGATGAGTAGGTGGTCTTATAGCTTAGGTAGGAGTAATCGTTTTATAATGATGTTTAAAAGTTAATTTTATGTACCGTCTAGTTGAAATCCATTATTTCCTTTTTAACCTTTTAGCTTTCGTCTGAATGAGAATCGAACCTTATATAGATGTATCTTCTTGATTCTAATAAATAGACATATATATTGATTGTTTAATTGCTTCTATCATACATGCCTTTTGCATTAAAGTATCAGCCCACCTAATCATATAAGAAAAATAATGCTAATCGCTAATTTAAGAGAAAATAGTTCACACTTCACAGTACACACCAACTCACCTAAAGATTACAATTAATGTTGCATATTTTGATCAATTTGACAAAAACAACTGATAATTTACCTTCAACGTATTTTGCATTTATAACTTATTCACTTAGCTAGAAGTTACTATCGTTATAACGACTTGTGTCCAAATCAAATATATTTATGATTGTTTACTACTCTGTATATACCAGCTTTAAAATAAAGTTCCTAAAATATGCACAGCTATGTAGTAAATTGAATAAACAAGCCAACTTATTTTTTAATTTTAGCTTAGAGAATAGCTTAAATTGGACCTAAAATATATGCAAGGATATCATAATTATTAACCGTTAATTAGAGAAAAAAAAAAGACATTTTAACGTACTATGGATTACATAATAATGATAATATACTATCTCTATTTCTTTTTTATGTTCATATTTTAATTGTGGACATTTCTCAATGCATATTTTTGTTCATTAATATCTATCACTAGTTATATGTGTTAATAAATATTATAAAAATTTGATACTATTTTGAAGTACTTATTATATATTCACATTTAGAGTATTCTCTCAAATCGTGAATCATTGCAAGAGTTCTAACAAAATAAAAATGAAATGAAAGGAGTAAGTATTAATTACATGAGTAACAAATTAATGAAGGTAGCAAAAATGGAGCACATGGTGGGGAGAGTCCAAATAGGTCCACATTTTATTAACTTGTACATATATATTTCCAACTAACATGGTTTACATCAATTTATCACAACTAATTAAAAGCGCTAGTAGTTCGGATAATCCTATTGCAACTATCACGATCATGATTTGTGGCCTTCCTTCTATCACAAATGTTGGGAGTACTAATATAATTGTTTTAAAAATAATAACGTTAAATGTGAGTTTTTCAAAGTGAATTGCTAAACACCGCCATTCAAAATGATCACCATCGTCAACATTTGGTGTGAGTGGATAATCATGCCCTTACTACTTCATCACCCCTTATCCTCCCAGGCGACCCACCACCCCTTCCAACCAGCAACAACCACCACTACCCTGACCGACAACCCACCACATCCCCCTCAACGAGAACCCACCACCTTCCCTCGCCGGCAGGAAGGTGGTGGTTTTTTTTTTTTTTAATTTCCAGCAATCACGGTAACCGGAGCCCAAAACTGATTACCGTGCCTGGTAACTAGTTTTGGGCTCTGGTTACCGTGCATGGTAAACGGTTACCGCGATTGTCGGAAATAAAAAAACCACCCCATCGGTGAGGGAAGGTGGTGGGTCGTCACTGAGGGGGATGTGATGGGTCGCCGGTCACGGTGGTGGTGGTGGTCATCGCCCATTAGGGTGGTGGTGTCAAGGTGTTAGTGATCGATGGCAAGAAGAAAGATAGTGGTGAAATACTAAGGACATGATTGTCCATTCACACTAAATATCGACGGTTTGATTATTTTTGTTGTCTATATTTAACACCCCTTTCCAAATCCTAATTTTTAATTCATAGTAGTAAATGATTTAGCCACTAGTTAAATTTGATGTGCATTTTCAGTCGAAAATGCGTTATTCAGCGCACTAGTACGAGTACAATGATATACTCTATTTTAATTAAGACCATAATTGGTGTACTTCCATAATCCCTTAATTTGTTCATTATATAAAATTTTGGAAACAACCGTTTTAATAATAATGTCATTAGCCTGTCCTTAACTTTTTCTTGATTTGTAGGTGTTTTCAAATTCGTTTGTAAGTTTTTCTTCTTCTCTAAAATTAAACTTTATAATCTACAAGGTCACTTTCAGATCAGTGTCCTAAAAGAATTCAGCTTTTGATGAGTATTACTTTCTAATGGTCACAATATCTCTAGAAAAAGCTAATAATAAGAATATTAAGTGTTTGGGTCCAATTTAGTCCAATTGGGCTTAGGCATTAAATGATCCAATTAAAAGCCCAAGGTCAAGGTTCATCTCTCCAATTGTGCTAAAGTCAAAGATCAGCCCTCAAGGCAAGCCAATTGGGCTAAGGCCCAACTTCTCCATGTATGAAGAGGTATAAAAGCCATCAATATTACATTTTTACAGGGATATCCTCATTAATTCAAGCAAAGCCTCAAGCAACTAATTCTCTTGCATAGTCTTTTCTTTCAACACATTGTACTGACTTTAGCATCGGAGGGGCCTTCCTCGGCAACACCCCCGAGGCTAGTTTACGTGTGTTTACTATGCAGGAAACCTTCGGCCCAACATTACTTGGACCGAATCTAGTCTTCTCCGTTTCATCGGACCTTCGGCAAGGTCCCATTGTTTTCACCCGAAACATTAAGTTTTTGAAATAGGTCAGTTGATCTTTAAAACAAAGATTGGAGTTTGCTGATACTAATTAATGTTATAATTTATAACGAACATAATCTAATTTAAAATTCATAAATGTTTTAAGGGCCCACCTTTGAGATAAAGGTTTACGAGTAATTCCTACGGAGTAATGCACTTGATAACTTTGCCCTTGAAATTTTGGGGATAGGATTTGTACACAATACAAATTCTAAAATTAAAATCTCTTGTTCTATTGTTAAGGTATTAATTAATAAAAGCATGCAACAAGAATTAATTAATAACATGTTTCTAATATTTTAGAATTTAACACATAATTATTACAGTAGTTCAGTAGTAGTCTGGTATGGGAATATAATAAAGGTATTAATTTATTCCTATTTTCAAATAAACAAAACTGAAAAGTCCAAACTAATTTAATATCTCTGAAGAAAGAAATCAATTGGAAAATTATAGTCGTGATTGATCAAGAATTCAAGAGAAAAATTTTACTACTCGACTTGTTGACTTGTTTATCAATTAATCAATTAATTTTAGTTGACTTGTATGAAGAATTTAATGTCACAATCATAGTTGACTAGTGTGTTTTCAAATTTAGCGACCCTCAAAAATAAAAACGAATAAATGCATCTCTAATTCTAGGCATTTAAATCTCATCAATTATTATCTATTAGTGCTCAAATCCTTCCGTTCTTTATATTTACGCTTTGTATTTTACTTTCTTCAATGCAAATGTTTGGCCACGAATATATTCAATAACATATGACCAAAAATTCTAAAAGAGGAGCAAAGGAAATAGGTTTTATGATTATCACTCGTATGTGATAGGAACCACAACGGAGAAATGTAGTTGATGTGAGTGATAGAGTTTTAAAGCATCTCCAAGACTCCAAGTACAAGCTCATTTAAGT